CTTCTTTTCTCCCCCCCCCCCCCCCCCCCCCGGCTTCCATAATTATGCACAATTATTTTGGGTGGGCAGAGGGGAAATCCCCTTCCTCCCCATAGAAAATCCAGTTGCTCTTTCCAGGAGCTTCCATCACTAAAGAAATGGGGAGAGACCCCAGGTAGGGAAGTGCTACTTGGTATTTTTAGCTGGCCAAACCCACGGGCCTCCGTACTGTGTCTCAGCTCTTCGCTCTCGCACCGAGGGAGCAAACGAACGTTAACACTGACGATGCAACAAACTTTTTTTTTGGGGGGGGGGAGGAGGGAATCCATCTTTTCTTGAATGTAATTGTTCATAATCAGACCTTGTACAGTACAGGAGGTTGTTTCTGCTGCTTTTCCATGCGGAATAAGGTTATGGGATGTTAGTTTTAGCGTGTGTAATTATTCAAAGCCTTATTTAAATTCTATTAAAGAACATACCATTATCAATGTTAATTGCACTAATGAAATCTTTGCCATTACCTCACTCCCACTGTTTGTGTTTCTTTCATGAATTTGCATCTGGTCTTAGGGCTCGATGTTGGCAGCAGCTGGGCGCCCCCCTCCTTGCTGTCTGCAGGGACCCCCGGGTGCTTGGGCACTCACAGACGTCTCCTGCTTTCATTAATTAGCCCTGTCCTGTCCAAGGACACCAGCCTTTTGGCTTGGTGATGGTCTTGACACATGATGTGTCCCCTCTCACTTGGCTTGCCTGTCACTAGAAAGCAAAATCACTGAACTGGTTTCACAGCCAGTGGCCTGTCTAGTCCCGGAGGGAAGCGCCGGGCCTCCTCTCTCAGGCATGTTGCCCGACAGTAAGCCATGCCTGCTTTAGCTGCACCGGTGTCAGTGGAGACCCTCCTGACTTGGGCAGGGGTCTCCCGGGTCGCACGCAGCCAACCTGCAGAGGCAAGACCGCAGTGCAAACGTCCCACGGCTGCAATGCTCTGTCCCTGTGACCGAGCGGGTTACGACGCGTGCCCACGACGGCCCGTCTTTGCAAAACCTGCCCTTGTGCCATGCTCAGGCGACTGGCTGGCTGGACGGTGACCCCAGCTTTCCTTCTAAAACACCAGTTCGTGCTCGCTGGTCCGATCAGAGCAGCTTCTCCAGGGTGAACGTGGTGCTTCGTCGCAGGATTCATCGTCAGAGCTGGTGAAGGGAAGGGGGCCTTGAAAATATTTGACAAAAATGAGATTTTTTTTTTTACAAATAACATCGGTGAAAACACGTCCCTCTTTCTGAGTAGCTCTCCTGGTAGAAAGAAGCTTCTTCGTGTAAGGATGGCACTGGCTTGTCAGACTAGGTAAGATTTTATTTCTTCTGAAATACCCGTGTTGGAGAAAAGGGGTTTGGCTCCTGCCTCCCCAGGGTCCCCTGGACTTGCAGAGGGTCAGTGCTAAAATGTGCATTTATGGTTGACCAGAGAGGTCTAAAAAGGGCTGTCGGTCAATCCTGAAGCTGCTGCAATTGCAGTTGCACGGAGACCTGGGGGCAAGATCAACCCTCCTTCTTACGGTCGTTGCTCTACATTAGTCTCGGTTCAAGCACACGGCAATGGCAGGCATAAGAGGGTGCAGCCAGGCAGGGATCTTCTGCAAGAAGCCTCTGGGAAGAAGGAGGGACGTAGAAGTGTCTGCTCCGCAGCTTGGGGCAGGGTCTCCTTGGCACCCCGGAGACCGAATTTCACGTCCCGACTTTAGCCGAGCCGTGCAGGACCTGGAACGCCAGTCCCCCATCCCCAGCAAACGCCTGTCCAGGCTGTCGCAGGGGCTGCTGGAGGATCTGCACAAGGTTACCCAGTGCTTGCAGGTGCATCCTTGCCTCTGTCCTCTCCTCGCCCTCCACTCGCACACCTGCTTCAAGCACGTGGGGCCAGGTTTTCAAGGGCATCTGGATGCTTGTCCAAAGCACCCGCGTAAGTGAGCTGGAGACGCCGTGTTTTGTGATGCGGATGCCGGCTTGCTAGGATTTAAACAGAGACCAGTGACTTCAACAGCCTGCTAAACAGCCGGTGGAGGGTGAGCATCACTTGCAATTTGCCCTTGGCTTTCCCTGGCCTGCTCTCATGGATGAAAACTTCACCCTTGGAGCATTGCACATGGAAATAACGGCAGGCTACCTGGCTCTGTTCCCTCCACGGGCATTTGCCAGACTGCCTAGCACTTTATGATAGCTAGAGGCCTTTAATCTCTGGGGTAAATGGCCTGGTACATTTGGGGCTGGAGTTAAAAGCGACTTGTTATAAGAGCCTCAAAAGCATACAGATTCTCCGGGCTCGCCCCCTCCTCTCTGCAGCACGCAAGCGGTGCTTAACCCCACGTGCGCTCAGCTGCATTCAGTGAAATCATCTGTATAACAGGCGTTGTCTGAGCTGTCCCGGCGCTCCAGCTCGCCACGCAGCATCCTTTGACAAATGCAGGTGGGGGCACTAAGCCATGGCCTTCGTCCTGGTGAAATCCCACCGAAGCCAGTGGAGGCACGAACTTTGCCGAGTCCGGGCTGCCTTGAGCAGGCCGACAGCAAGCTTATGCTTGTAATTTCTGCATTAGCATCTGGTGACCTGACCCGAGCGAAGCGAAGCGGCCGGGCCCGGCTAAGACGGGAAGTGCAGGAACATTGCAGGGAGACGGGGCATGCAAGAATCGTTGGCTAGAGGCTTTTTAAGACTTGCATATTCAGTAGTCAGAATAAATTTAGGGGGGAAAGCATTGCACGAGTCCCTCTTGGTATGCTCACCACTGACTATGTTTTGTCAAGGTGCTTGGTGTTGTGCTTAGGGGACGTGTGTTGGAAAGGTCGCCGGGTAGCGGAGCGCACTACATGTTCAGCTCCTCTTGACGTCATCCCGTGATTAGAAATATTCAGCATGCAGATAACTTGCTTTCAGCCTCCCCCGAGCACGTGGATGTCTTTCTCTTGCCAACCTTGGCTGGGGGTGACCTGATGGACTCGGCTGTGTGATAATGTTAGCGTCTCTAACAGCTTCTGCTGGAGCCCTCCGGAAATGGAAATGAGTGTTTGGGGCAAGGCTAAACAAGCAAAACTAGATATCAGTCCTGAGCAGGCGGCTTGGCCCAGGGCCTTGCTTACACCTTTTGTATTTGGGAAAATTGAGATTATATATAGCAGGGGAGAACAGCATGTCACCTGAAACCCAGTTTATTGCCTTTTGAATGCATTTAGCAGGAGTGATAAAATACCCTTCCTCCCCACCCATCTCCTCTCTCTCTCCGTTTGTCATCTATTATTTTAGGAATACAGGGCCACATCAGGGCTCTTGCTTCCCATGCCTGGAGGTTTAATTGTTGAAGGACCCATCTGCTTCCCGGGGCTGCTGAGTGCTTGATCCCCTGGTGTGTGCAGAGAGGGCAAGGAGGGCACTGGCCCGATGGCAATAAAAGGGGCTGAGCTGGTGATGCTGCCCCTTCCCTTGCTGCACGTGGGTCCAGGTTTGTGCCTGGGGCAGAGGAGAGGGCAAAGACCATCTCCTGCATGCTCCTAGGTGCTTGGCTCTGCTTGCGGATATTGCAGGGCACCGGCTGCGGGGATAGACCTGGGCCCTGGGGCGTGGAGGGGGATTGTGCCGGGCACAGGTGCTTACAGCGTGGCTGGAGTCAGATGTCATATGGCCACGGAGCTGATGGAAAGGTCATTTGAAAGGCGAGGGAGGGGACAGCCTGTGCACCATGAGGCGGTGCGGAGCCCCCAGTCCCTTCCAGCAGCATCCCTAGTCCAGGGGCAGCGTGTCCCTGAGGGACATCCCACAAAACCACAGCTCCATGATGCCAAGGAGCTGCACGTGGCTCTCCATAGTCCTCCAAAAGAGTCCTCCTGGGTCTCCAGGTTTTCTGGATCCAGGCAGCCATGAGGCATGGGCTGAGCCCCAGGCTGGAGGAGTTGGGAGACCCCAAACTGAGCAAGGCAGCCGGAGCCCCCTCTACGGACCCCGTTGTTTTCAGGGTGTCCCAAAGCAGCTGCAGTCAAGGACTCGCTGACTTTCCCATAGCAAAGGCAGTGCCAGGGGCGAAGCTTGCATGTTGGCAGAGTTTGGTTTGCCATTATTCATATCAGCCCGGCCCATTAAGCTCAACCGAGGGCACTTTGGTTATTCTCAGAAAAACAGAAGAAAACCATAGCAGCCAGCCTACAAATGATGGCAGCGAGTGCATTTCTTACCGCTTTCCATGAAGACCACGGAGCACTTCAATGGAAGGGGCACAAATCACGGTGCA